TATATATAGTCCGGAACCGTTCGGAACCGTTCTGGACTATATATAAACCACCCACTTCTGAAATTTTCATTAAATTAACATGTGACTTTCAAACATAACATAACATAACATAACTTAACTTAACTAACTAACTACTAACATAAAACTACATTACATAAATTTCATAAATTCAATAACATAACTTAACTTAACTTTGCCTGACTTAATAAATTCCAGGCCCAGGTCCATGTGATCATCTTCACATCATGGAAACACTTTCATACGTTACATACTGTATGCTGCATACTGCATACTGTGCATACTGTGTACTCATAGAATTGGGAAACCAACCCAAAGGTAATTCCCCAGGCCCCGAGCCATATGGTATATATGGTGTGTGTACCACACTTTGGCAGCCAACTTTGAGTATCACTACTCTTACATTCCCTCCGTATTCTACCTGCATCGTTCCATGTCATTTATGATTCAATTCTATGATTATTTGCTTTGTTTTTGCCCCGGCCCCTATCTCTTATCTTATAGACCGGTCCTAGAGTCCTAGCTCTGGTTGTTTGGACGAACAGCGTTTCTAAGGCACAAGGAAAGAATCCAGAGGAGGAGCTGTGCAATTCTGACCTGGCTCGTTCCTGAGCTGAATTATGGAGCAGGAGTCACAGCCAGTCACAGGAGATGAGAAAACACAACGATGAAGATGAAGTGAAGCTATGAACATTTGCCGTTTTCAATAACAACAGAAGGGTGAGTCAGCTAAGGGTCCGGTCTAAGGGTTCTCAGTTGCACTGGCAGTTCCAGGTTCTGCTGGCCGATTCGCGAATGGAGTTGGAGGTTTCTGCAGCGCTCTTACCACAAGTGTGAAGATTTGGGATTACAACTCCCAACAGTTCCTGACAGCAGAGGAGCCTGAAAGTTGTTTTTTGTCACTGCCCTTTCCCAACCCGGACTTTTCCCAACCCGGATTTAGGTAGGACCCACTGATCCACTTCACTCCACTTGATGTGTTTTCAACTTTGGACTTTGGAAATTTACATTACATTTCACATTATACCCAAGTGCCCCAACAGCAGACTCTGTCCAAACAACTGTCTGAACACTGGTCCATGTTGTGACTTACAGTCCATGGAAATACAGGACTAGTACGGGGTGCCATTGAACCTTTTGTCAAGTTGTTGTCATGCTGCGCCCTCCGTTGCAGGACCTGTTCACGCTCCAGGGGTTCAACGTTGCCAGGATGAACTTCGGCAAACCTGGAGAGTTCAAGTACGGTGAGCTCAACACCCTTGCTGGCAGTTTGGCCCGAAACAATGAAGAAACTCAAGACAACTGCACTGCCCTCACTGGGGACAAGAATGTTACTGTACTGTAATGTGTTGTTAGTTGTGTAGCTTTGAAAGCCTTAATTTGTCAGGCGTCCGGCGCTCAAGTAAGGAATGACAACCCCCTTCCCTTCAACATTATGTTCGGTCTGACACTGCCAGGCTCCGATCTAAATACACTTTTCGAGTTCTGTACACAAAGCCACAAAGCCTACAGAAAGTGTTACAGGTTTATATTATAGATTAAGGCCCTAGGCTTAAGGACCGACTCAGACATTTGGTCTTATTTATGCTATGCTTAAAGACTGAAGTAGACTGAAAGTTCTGGACGGACTACTGTACGGACTACTAGTTTAGAGGAGGCTTTCATGGCCCACACCGGGTCGTGTTTGATATGGAAACTTTGGTGGGTCCTGAGTCCTGAGGGCTTGTTCTTTCCTTAATGTCGTCACAGCCTGAACTTGAACCCTTTAAACCCTCCCATATACTTCACTAAACCACTGGACTCTGGACACGCGCCATTCTTTTGTCCCCAGGTGGGGAAGAACAAGAGGTAACGGATGCAAATTCAACCTTTTGAGGCAATGTTATGCGGTTCTTTGTCTTTGTTTGTCATTTTCAATTTCAACAAATCACTACTGCAATAAGTTGGCAATAAGGCAATGGATGGTCTGTTCCTTGCGGCGGGGCGGCTATTCTGGCCGCTGTTGCTTGTGCCATCTTTCCAGTGGTACCTTTGAGGAACAATCCGTCCAGTTTCCCAGGTGGTGCAAACGTCTCTCTGAAGTGGCTGGTCAAAACGGGAGCTTCATGCAGCCAGGGCACTGACACTGTCACTGCTTCAGATAGTATTTTCTCTGGTACGGACACAGAACCGGAACAAGAATCTGACAGTGGGACAACAGTGGCCCATTCTGAGAAGGCAACCTTTTTTGAGGTTGGGCAGGATCACCCATTGCTGGGCACTTTCAGCTTTGTGTGTGCTAATTGCTTGGTCAAGCCTACCGTTGGGGATTATCTTGTGGAGTGGTGCAGTGAGAGCTTCAATCCCAAGCAAAGATTCCTCCATTCTCGCTGTTGTGACCCCTTTGCCATGCTGCAACCCAGTCCTGATACCAGGAACAGGCTTGCTTTTGCATTGGCTGATGCCCAATTTGATGCCCCAGACTATTTGCACTCAAAGATCAATGATCTGATTCACCGGTTGCTGGATGAGAACTTTCATTGGCAGCTTGAGCCTGAGTCCACCCAGGTTCTTGGGCCTGCCCCCAGCTTGCATCGCTTTGCAAGATTTCAGGAAAGTGACATTCCGATTGATTTGTCTGACTCAAGGCAGGCCAAGAAGCTGAAGGTGACTGAGAACAAAGAGTCTACAGGAGAGGACGTTGATGAATGGATCAAGATCTTGGACATGGATGAGCCCCTGCCTTCTACAGCGAAGGAAGAGGTGGTGATCCGCTTTGACACTCCTGATTCTCACAGAGACATTGATGCCTTTCCCCATCCTGCACCTGTCGAACCGGCTTTCCTGTCTCAGCCTTTGCCGCCACCAGACTCTGAGCCCCCGTTCCACAATGCTTCGTTGATTGCTGCTGCCCCATTTGAGGACTACCAGCGCCAAGAGCGCTATGAAGATTCCTTGATTCATGTCATTGAGGATTCTCAAGCTGTGGATTCGGGCATTGCTTAGGGATGGGCAAGCCACTCAATTTTGAGGATCGTGAAACACAGCTGGCACATTTTGACCATGCTCGGGCAGGACTCTCTCTTTGCTAGTTTCGGGTTGCGCAGGGGCGTAGCCCAAAGGCTTTTCCAGCGCTTTGGCCAATCAATCCCAGAAGGCCAGGCCAGCCTAGCCTAGAGACAATACGCTTGTTCAACTTCACAGCCAGCCCATTCGGAAGCAAAGTGCGTGCCTTTGTGCTGTCCTTAGGATCCTCGGTATGACAGGCCATGAACCGTGGGTTGATGGTTGATGAATAATCATCTTGATGCAATGGTTTTGCTCTTGGGCGTGGCTGTTTGTTGCCTACTGTTTGCGTGTTTTTGTTGCTTGGCCAGTTCTGGTCATTGCACATGAATTGATTGAATTTGTGTTGCTGTGCAACTGTTGTAGTATTGATTGATGATTGCTGTTTGCTTGAAGTCGAAGTTGTGGATGGATAAATCTATACAGTAAATCATGGGTCATGTGCCAGTCAGCCAGCTCATTTTGTGATCAAGCCTGATCAAGCTCCTGGCATCGATCGAGTATTAGCTTGCGACTCTCCCTCACTATGGACGTGGAACCTGAGCATGACCAACAAGAGGCCGGCTCTGACCAGGAAAGTGAAAGCGTGGAGGTCGAGATCGTGGATGGAGTTTGTCCTGCCTGTGATCAGGAATTTGGGAACCCTGATGAGGCCAGGGAGGTTTAAACAAGTAGCAAGTGATTGGTTTCCAGGATCCTTAATCAAGCTTGTTCAGTTCGAACCATTCAGTTCGGCTCAACCTGGTGACGTTGTTTGGCGTCACTGTGCAGGACGCTGACGGTGACACCTCCATCACGGTGACTTCTGCAAAGGGAGACAACCGAGCGTTGTGTCACAGGTGCTTCTACATTGGTCGCGGATCCCTGGGAAAATTGAAGATGATTGATTTGGTAAAACTCCTGAAAAAATCCACAGCTTTGAGAAAGAAGTTTCTCAGTGGCAAGATTATCATCGTTTACTCACTCACTCACTCACTCTGAAACTTAAAACCATTTTTCTTCAAAAGAACTTGTACTGTAGTACCGTACCATACCAGCAATTGAGCTTCTCCCTAAGTTACTGTAGACTAGAGATGACAAACACATGACAAGTGACAAGTGACAAATGTGGACCAAAACGCTTGTCAAATTCTGTGAGCTGCAGTGCTCGCGCCCAGGTTCAGGAGTCTTAGAAAGGCTCATTTGAAGGCTGTGCTGAAGAATCCGAAAGCCAAGCCCAGACACCAGGTTTTGGACTTGAAGCACTACACCAAGAAGAAGCAATCTAACTATGTGGACTTCTCGCAGGACACTGCCTGTTCGGGTCTGTAGCAAAAATTTAAATTAACGTTGGATTCGGGATCCAATTTTGTAGCCAAAGATACGTTACAGTAATAATTGTTCTGGTGCGGGCGGTGTATGTGCAAAGATACGTGATGATGTGATGTGGATGGAAAGCCTCTGCCTTTGCTGGAGGAAGCTGAGTGGACAGAGCTCAGCGCATACTTCAATGAGAAAGCTCCAGCAGATGTTCGCAAAAAGGTAAAGACAGTTGCTGCAAAGCGCAACTGGATCACCAAGGCTTCTTGCATGAAAATTGGTTGCTGCTGCTGCTGCTGCTATGCCTATGCTGCTGTTTTTGTTTTTGTTTAAGTCTGTCCCTCCTGCCACGTTGGTTCACGCCAGAGTCACCCAGTCGGCTACCTGAGGTTCTTGGACTCAAGCTGCAACAGGCGTGGCGCCTGGGAAAATCCCAGAAAATTCATCATTGTTCTATACTGTACTGTGCTGACGATTCCGTACCAATTCTTAGTCAGTGGCTGTGGAGTCAATTGGAGGCATTCTAGTGCACTGATTGGATTGATATTACATAAATTCCGTCCTGAGTGCAATACAATACAAATTCACAATCCCTGTACTTTATTATTGTACTTTACTGTACTGCATTAAGTTTTTGTTTCCTGGGCCAGGACGACCGTGGCATTGAGGGAGTCCTGGTTATGGCAGATAGTTCCAAAAAGAAGGTGCGGATTGGAAGCAAGGTGTCCACAGAGAGTGTGAGGCAAGCTGAACACGAAAGCGGAACCGCCCGGAACCAAGCCCATGAGAAGGAGTCAGAGAAGCTCCAGATGCAGATCAATGAAAAGGCTGGGCCTGACATAAATTCTTCCTTCCCTTCTCCCTTCATGTCATGTCATTTTCGTTCCCTTGAAATGACTCATTGGGACCGCCTTTTGATTTTGTAGTTTCAGCAGATGCTACCCTGAACCCCTACCATAGCCAGGCCAAGCTGCACTTGATTTACCCTGACCCTGACCCTAACAGACCTCCCTTGCTCCCAGGCTGAGGAGGATGAAGCTTTAGGTGGTCCTCTTGAAGCCCCAGACGAGCCTGAGGAGGAAGATGGCCACGCCTCAGACTCCGAATCCTCCGATGCTGGGTTCAATCTCATGAGGGATTCTAAGATGAAAGCGTCAGCATCCACCAGGAAACCCAAGACCAAACGGTCAGAGGAGATCAAGAAGCCCTCAGAGTCTATCCCCGTGACAGAGGCGAAGTCGAAGCAAACCCGAAAACCTGACAAGGACCTGATTCCCAAGGGTGAGTCCACCGTTTTGGACTTGCGGCGTTTCTCTGAGACAGGTTTCTTGGCTGGGACTGTCAAGGAGAAGGATTGGGGGTCCAAGCTCACCAAAGCTTTGGCTTTGGCCAGCCAACTGGAGCAAGTCATGAACAATGACATGTGCAAGGACCTCGCCAAGACTCTCACAGAGGAGGCAAATGGCGTCAGCAATGCAATGGATACTGTCAAGGTCTTTCGCAACATGACTCCAGCTGTGGCTGCTCGAGAGCTCATCGCTTTGTCTGACGAGTTCCTGAGCAGAATGGCGCGTTTTCCACAAGACTGCTTGACATCATTGCTGACAGATTGTGGCCGCAAGCTGTTGCAGGAGCACGTCAACATTTTATGTTTAATACGTACGGTCCGGTTTAAAACCATTTATTATATTGTTACTTTTATGTAAGACAATTGACTACAATTGACACTTAAATTAAATATTATATGCGGATTGGGGAAAACAACTTCAGGCTGTAGACCTATAGGTGCCAGGTACTTCTCAGCTTAGGCCCGTAGTCACTTGCCGAATCTAGCCTATCAGGCTACCAGCTAGGTTGAACATGCCCCGCTTTTGCAGGACACCGTTGCGCCTAGCCGGAGTTTGGCGTGCTTCTTTGCTTTCATCTGTTTAGCTGATGGTTCACAGAAACCGGGTTCAGCCGGACTATCCCTGCGTGCTATGGGCAAGCTGACCTCCAGTCTTGATGACGCGGCCTTGCTTCGAATCCAAATGAACTTGTTCAATGCCTGGATTGACAGGGTGAAGACTTTGTCAGATGATCAGGTGGATGTGGCTCTGCACTCCATTCCTGCAGATCTTTGGGATTTGGATATGGGCAGGCTAGGTTTTTGCAAGTGTTTTTTCTGGGATTTGTATATGCATGGTCCGCGTGGTCATGGTCAAGTTAATCACCGGCTTCAGTGTCTCAGGCAATACAATTCAATATTATACGGTAGCGGCCAGGTATTACAGTATCTATCAGCTGTCGGTATATAACTACATACTGCACTGTACTGATTTCTGGTTATGCGACTTTTCCCACTGTTCGTCAATCTGTTTATCCTCTCACCTACCAGGCATTGCTTCCACAATGCCTCAGGGGAGTCTTTGGCTGCTGACTCTGGCTTTTCCTCCCGGATCATCCTTGACCTCCAAAGGTTCATGGCATCCTCCAAGGTCACTGACCAGAATAAGACTACGAATATGAGTCATGAGCTCGCTTCACAGATGAAGGAGATCCTCCAGTTCAGCAGTCGCGCTTCTGCCAAAGTGGCCCTGGTGTTCAAGGCTAACTCCAGACTCAGGACTGTGTTCCTGTTAAAGTTTTGCAGTTTTGCGTGTTTGTGTGTGTGTGGGTGTGTGGGGGGGTGCCATTTGATGTATCTTAACCTGACTGGACTTATCGTCTTATCGTCAATTTCTTACAATTTCAGAAAATGTGTCCATTTTGTAAATTAACTACATTGGGACTTCTAGCCAGGAGCCTTTGGGAGCGAATCCTTCAGGCTGGGAAGCGGATGATCGACCAGAAGGCTGCCAAACAGATGTTGGAGGGTTGCCTTCAAGACCTTGACAAGCTGACTGACAAGCTCAAAGGCTACGTTTTAGAGCAGGACAGGGCCGGCGCCAATTCCATCCAGCAGATTTTGGAGCAGGCCGACACCTGCTCCAGAGCGAATGACATCCTTGAGGCCATGAAGTCTTCCAAAAGTGAGGATTCCCAGCAAGACATCACAGCATTGGCAGAGCAGCTCGCCAAGGTCCAAACGCAGATGGACAACGACTTCTATGACACGAATCAGTTGGCAGAGCTCCTCAAGTGTTCTTGGCTGTCTGAGAATGGCCAAGTCCAGCTGCAAATCACTCAAGGGAGTCACGAGTTTGATGTCCCCTTGACGTTGAAGAGCTTGCGCATTGAAGGTGCCAGTCAGGGCAGGGTTCCTTGTTTTACTAGACAGTTGGTCAGCCACTCAATCAGTCAGTCAGAGTCAGTCTACTTTTATTTGGTACGGTCCTTGAATTGTTTGTTGCTTCTAGTTTTCACTAACCCATGCAGGTTTGAAGCTTGTCATGAGTTCAAGAAAAAAACGGAAATGGGAAATTGTTGAAATTGTCAGAGTCAGTCATTGTCAAATTGTTTCTTATTTGGATCTAATTGGGAGGTGCCATCCGTGGCAGAGTTCTACGTGAAAATGAGAGCAGCAACGCCATCCTAGAGGCTTTGGCCACCAGTCTTCTGACTTTTCACTTGAAAGTGTTGGAGGAGACCAAGGACGCTCTTGAAGAAGGCTGCGCTCTTCAGAGGAGTTTTGATTCCTTGCTATCCAAGAGCTCTACTTTGGAATCTCCGTTTGATTGGGTGGACCAGTTCCAGAAGGCTGCAGGCCGCTTCAAGAATGCGTTTTTGGACAAATCTTGCCAATGGTTGATTGGTCTTGTGAAGGAGATTGGTCCAAGCAAGGCTGCCGAGTTTGTGCAGCAGGCAAACCCACCTGCAAGTCTGCAGGGGCTGCTAAAACACGTGGAAATTCTCAAGCTTGAAACCTTCTTGGATGGCATTGATTCTGAGGTGGAGAACACCAATGACATTGGTGAACTTGCTAAGCGATTGAAAACGTGGGTGAGTGTGCGATCGCTTGACCAGAAGGCCACTCTGGAGTTCTTTCCAAACCTGGGTAGCAAGTTGGAAGTGTACTGCAACCGTGTGGAGAAGAACATCCTTTCAATTGTGCACAAGATCCAGAAGAAAATGGACACCGCTGAGAAGGACATGGAGCCGTACAGGTTGGGGGTGGTGTTTTTTTGGTTGTTTGTGCATGTGTTTCCTTTAGTCTGTCTTCTGATGCAGACTATGATACTGAATGAATGATATGATATGATATACTGAAATTTTAATACTGCTTCACTCACATATAAATTACACTTCACCTGAGTGCCGACAGGAAGATCATTACAGCCTGTGAGATTTGGAACATGAAGGATGTTCAAGACATCTTGACGGAGACTGACACTATTACCGGTCACACGACGAGCCTCACAGACTTTGTCAAAGTTGCAGACACCTTTGACACCTTTGCTCGGACAGCGATGGTTTCCATGAAGGGATCTGAGTGGAGCTCAGAGAATGTCTACCAGTCCATAGGTTCCGCGAAGAAGTCCCTTCAGGCATCAACCTGGGGTTTGAACAAATTAGTTTTCGATTCTTTCTGACTATCCCGGACTATCCCGTTTTCCTTTGAAGCATCGAAACTCAAACAACTCAGACTCAGAGCATCAGAGGGTGTAGAATGACCATTGTTTCTTTTTTGGGCTACTGTTGGTTCCTTAGTTCACTGATTCAGCCTCATCACTCATGATTATGCCAATTCTATCACATAAAATTGACTTTTGGATCTTGCCAAACCTTGCTTCAACATTTTCCCTTGAAGCTGTTGTGACAGGATGTTCGCAAGGATGCAGCCATGATCGTTTCCTGTATGTCTGTGGCAACCATGCTTGAGAAGCCCTCTGACGATGGTCCTGAACAGAAGTTGGCAACGGCCCGGAAGGTGAGCCTCTTCATCAGCACCCACTTTGGATTGAGTCTACAGGACTTGCCTGGCCCCATCAAGGCGAAGGTGGATTCCTTTGGCAAATCCCCGGAGGAAACCAAGCCGGCCAAGGCATCCAAATCCAAGGAGTCACTCGGATTTGTGATGCGATGATGTGATGTCATGATGGTTGATTCCTGTTCCATGAGTCAGAGGGGATCCTCCTGCACGTTTTTGGGTGGGATTTTTGCTACCCTACTTACTACTAAGACTCAGACTATGACTCAATGACTATGGACTGTGGACCTATGTACTATGGACTATGACACTTTCACCCAACAGGGCCCCTCATTCATGATTCCCCGAATTGATGGGTTCAAGGTTCAGAAGGTTTTTTGTTTGATTCGGGGATGTGACGTGAATGTGACATTTCAGAGTGTATATATAAAGGGTGGTGACTGGTGACACCAGCTGCCAGCCACTTGACCCAGGAGTGGTGAGGAGAAGGGACAGAAAAGGAAGAATTCCACGACGGCGAAAGCCGGTCCCAAAAAAAGCCGCGAAGAAGTGATCGGTGTCAGAGAATCCTATTTTGGATGGGGTTGGAGTCAGCAAGGAATGTTCGATGAAGCGCCTTTTAGACTGACTCCTCAATGTCGTGTGTCTCACATGTCATAATATGACAGAGACTTGTGGGCCTGTGGGGAACAGGAAAAATACTGCGTGAAACCTTTTGACTTTGTGTGTGTGTGTGTGCAAGGGTAAATCAGCTTTGACATAGCCAAAAAACAGTATATATTTTATATATAGTTCAAGCATTTTTATATATATATAGTTCAGAGCAGTTTTATATATAGTTCAGAGCAGTTTATATATAGTTCAAGCCAGATCTAAGGGTGGGTGGGCCTCTGACAGACAAAGAGGCCCACGCACACCCTAAACTATACTGGACTATACTGTACTATAAACTATAAATGATTCAGCGAGATAGATTTGTTTTGGTGTTGTTCAAGCTTCTGGTCACGTTGCTTTGAGTTCCAAGGCCCGTCCTGGCAGCTGTAGACAATTGGACTTTGGACACGGTGGCGTGGATGTTCTCTGGTTCGGAGGAAGTCGATGGAGAGGTCAAGGCTATGATGGAATGGAGGGTGAAATTCGGCATTGTTGAGGACTTCCTGCTGAACTTGAAGAACATTTCAAAGCTAAGCAAGACCAATTCATTCCGGCCAAAGATTGCTGAATGCCACAAACTCTGGAAGGACAGTTTGGGTTGTTGTGAATTTCACACGTCAGAGTGGATTCAAGACTGTTCACACGCTAAGTAAACAAGACAGCCTGAACAGAAAAGGAACAGCGGTATGATTAATAGTATTCAGTGAATTCGGTATAATTGGTTTTGTCATTTGTGACATTTTGACATTTTACATTAAATTATATACTGTCTGTATACACTCTACTGACTGTGACTGTATAGGGTCATAGGGTAGCTGTTTGGGGGGCAATTTCAGGGAGCAACGTAGTCTGATCCTGGGGTTGTGACAGTTCTCATTTCAGTGGTTCAGCTCGGAACCAAGATTGTCATGTGTTTTCACTGCTTGAAGGAATGTCGAGTGACGATCGCCAATGTCTGCAGCTGCCTCACGACTGGCGAGCTGCTGATGAACCCTGACTCCTACCCAGACAAGTTGGCATCCTTTCGGAAAGTATGTGTCTTGCTGGCTAAGCAGTTTGGCATGA